TTGACTTCGACAGTGTTCCAACAGACTCAAATGTTTTTAATTTCGTAAATTCTGGTGGTACGCAATTAATATTGTAATAAAATTTGCATATTTTTTGTGATCATTTCTGTTTCTTCATTGTGAAAATTAATGACGACTCAACTAATTTCGTAATTTGATTTTCCCTCAAAGACGTAATCTGTCACTTAATAAATCAAATTTTTCATTTGCACTCTTTTTCGAGGGGGTTGCTCGGGTAAGCGCCCACCCCTAAAAAATCGTGATTTTCTGAGTTGAGGCCCCTGGGCACTAACGCGGATGAGTACGGTAATATGTTCTATGCTGAATTTTACATATTCACTGGGTTTTAATTTAGCTCATTTTTCAGTCAGCGAAATAAGCAAAATTAAAACCCAGTGAATAAATAACCCTTTTACAGTAATAGACGTACCATCAGTGTTGTCCCCAGAAAAAACAGTATAGTATCAACCAATAGACCATTTTCCGTTCACTGCGAGAATCACGCGTTATGCGTGAAATCGAACGTAAAAACAGGACAAACCAAGGTCATAGCGTCGTAGTGGCGTCAAACATCATGTGGGATTCAACAAACGCGAAAGTATTTTTGGGGACATTTCCATGCTTAATATTGTGCTGTCCACATTTGATGATAGGCAATTTCGATTAAGTGAGGGTATTCGGAAGCAATATTCCTCTGTCGAAGATCGGCCGGTTGGTGTGAGCTACGAAATAAAGATATTAGAGTTCAAAATCAAATCGTTTGATATTTTGCACCAGACGCGCGTCTTTCATGCATCTCACGAGATCTCGCAATTGTGCGGAAAATCACCTATTTACATAATAGAATATGTCAATGACTTGTATTCATTTTTATGCTAAATTGGTTCTATTATTTATTCAAAATTAAACAGTTAGGAATGCCTAGTTCATAATGCCCTGGGGTGAACCCTAACCATATTTGTTCTATTAGAAACGCAAATACTTAAGAAACAGCCTCGGTGGTTAAAATACCTACTGTGAAATAATGTAGAATACTTTGTCGAAATTAATTTTCACTGAATGAATGATTCTGTGAAAAGAAAATCCAGAAAATCATTTTTTCATTCAACTCGTCAAAACAAAAAGTAAAAATAAAATCTATACACAACGCTCAAAATGTCTGTTCAGCATAAATTACATCTAAAATAAAGTATTTTACAATAGTTTATTTCCATTCAGAGTTTATTTTTGCCACTTTTGGTTAAAATAAAATCCAGCAAATGTACTTTTTTCTATACATTAGATTGAACCTTAAAATTCAATGAAATTCCATACAAAACACATTAACTCTTTCTGGTGATTAACTCCAGATAAAATAGAGTATTTTACAGTACTGTAAAATACTTATTTTCACCATTTCCACTGAAGAAAAGATTCAGTGAAAATAAAATCATAGAAATAAAAATTGTTTGTCTATTGATGCAAGTTTAATGAAACTAATTATTCACTGGGTTTAGTTTCGCTGATGAGTAAAATCTGCTAAATTAAATCTACGCGAACATGTAAAATAACTAAACTCTCCTCCAGGACAAACTGCGAATATGCTCAACATTTAGTGAAATTAAATAGTTTTACAGTATTTTTTTACTTTCAGAAGCATGGGAAATTGTTTTAGCCCCCATTTTGAGGGTATTCAGATTTTTGCTTATTCAAGATGTTAATTTTAAACACGATTCTTTACACTAGATATAGCGATTATGTTAATTCATGCAAAATTCGCTAACATAGCACACGTTTTTTTTTAAAGGATTCACATTATTTGCTTCACTAAATAAATTTCTATTGATGACCAAGTTGGTCAAATTATAGACCTAGGGTTCTATTGTGAAAATTACTTTTTCCTGTCTTGAGAATCTTTTTTCCACCACCATACTGTCTTGCCCAAATTTTTTTTACACACTTTTTCTAGTTTTCACTTAAAATTTTTTTGGCTACTTTCGTCTCAATCATCTGAAGAAAAGTTTGAATGAAAAAGAGGGAACTGGTGGTGGGGGGAAAAAAAAAGTTCAACACTGCACTCTTAAATTTTATGAAAGAAAAGTTTTTTTTCCAGTCTAAATTGTGAAATTTTCCGGGCCTACAACTGTCAGCAACTATTACAAATATTATCAAATCAAAAAAAATGATACAACTCGTGCAAATTGAATTTAATTTTAAAGTCTGCAATGGCCAAGTGGAAATGAAGCATTCTGGCATTCAGACCAGTGGCAGTAAAAACAAAGCAGTGGTGATACAGTCATGCTGTTTGTATCAGACGGGGAGGGATTGGAACAAGACATCTTATTGGCCACAAGCCATGCATGGCACAGTCCCCGTTAGTTATCAAATTTAAGATATATAGTTATGTTTATAGTAATATAGCTGGAATATAACCATGTCAGGAATGTGATTTTTTTAACATTAAAATGATTGACATTTGTATCTGATCCTCAAACAAGTACTTGTCCATATTGAGAGATATTGCTCTGGAACAGCATTCAAAATCAGCCATTTTGAATACATGTATATATATATATATATATAACATGATGTATAACAAATATATAAAATCTGAATATAATCGGTCAAAGTATTTAAGAGATATGGCTCTAGAAGCCCAATCATTAAAACAAAATGGCCGCCAGTCAGCTATTTCGAAAAGGTAGTGTTGACACTGCTTATATCTGTAGTAAACATTTTCGCATTCTCCCATAGAGGGCCCACTTCATTGGAAACTTTAATTCAGAAGTTTCAGCATACAAGAGACTAGACTTATTTTGGCCTTGGGGAAGGAACAACAATGTTTACACACACTCTGGCTTATCCCTCAAAAAGTTGGAGACGTTTCTTCAGGTCAAAATCTTAAATAAATTAGTCCGCTCAGAAGTCTGCTAACGGCAACAAGTTTAAACACTCTTTCATTCAGTCTCCCGTCAAAAAAAAACATTTCCCCACTTAATTTTATTTTTCCTAGCTACTGTGAAACACTTTATTTTTGCTTGGAATTAATTTTCGCTGAGCGGCGATTCAGTGAAAATAAAATCTAGTGAATATACCTTTTTCTATATTTTGTATTCAGCTCATTAAAAGTCAGCGAAACTAAATTCTATACAAAACATCCAAAAAATCTTTAGCGAAAATTAATTACAGCTAAAATGAAATATTTTACAGTACACTGGCGAAATCTCTAAAATTGGGCTTTGACTATTAGTAGCTAAACAACACAGCACACTCACCAGAGGTGATGAACAGGTTCTATTGTTATGCAAATTAACCTCAACTTTAATTCCCTTTTCAGAGAACAATGACGCTTTTGTTGAACTTCCGACTTTGTTCATTCATCAGTTGTCCAAAATACAATTATACGCTTGATCCACTAACCACTAAAACATGACCTTGAACACTTGAGACTTGAACAGAAAAATGGAACATAAAATGTCCTCAAAAGAATTGACCGATTTGAAATTGCATGATCAATATCCACACGCAAGTATTTTAACTATTTCCCCTTAAACAAGCATCAGAGAACATGAAGTCAGTAGAAGACAAAATACCTTCGTCTATTCTGGTTTCCGATTGGTTTTGGCACTGTTTGTGGGGGAGGGCGAGATGCGAGTTTTAAGAAGTCAAAAATATCTCATTACCAAAAATGCCAATAATATTTATCAAAATTAGAAATTGTGGGCTGGGATAGCCCCGCCGTTAGCAATGCACATTTCAATTAAGAACTGAAAATAACATTTCAATTAAGAACTGAAGATATCATTAGAAAATTGACAATATGCATAGTAATGCAATCAGATTTGTGGTTTTTAACAAGTCGAAAATCACTTTTTACCAAAAATGACAAATATTCATCAAAATTAGAGAATTAAAGATATCATCACGAAATTAACAAATCTGAGAGAGGTATACATGTAGTACCTATATATGTAATATCAAAGCAATCAAGACTTATCGAAAATACAACTTTTTACCAAAAAATGCACCAAAAATAAAGAATTTGAGATTTTAACACGAAATGAACAAATCTGAGAAAGAACCATTGAAGGTACTTGCATATCAAATTTGAAAACATTCTAACTTGCGGTTTCGAAGAAGAAGTTGAAATTGTAAAGTTGACTGACTGCCGAGCTAAAAAGTTGACGACTGACTATCACTCTTATGATAAGCTCTGCCCAACAAAGTCAACAGCGGGGCTAAAAAAATGGGGGGGGGGGGGATGCCCAAATAGTTACAGGTGAAGCTTCTTGACTGCATTACTGAATGCAAAAAATTACACATTCACAACTTTAAATTTTAAAAACTGAAAACGTTTCATTGCACTTGTCTCAGCCTACACTGAACACCAGCACTAGATAGATGATCAAGCACGTCTATGCAAACCAATTCCATCATGCAGGTTGTACCATTGCTCGAGATGCTTCGTTGATGCAAATCGTCTCAGCACTACATCTTGTTCCGTAGTCGTGGTACTCGCGTGTACTTTGCAGGTCGGTGAAGACAATTTCTGGGTTGGTTTCAATGCATCATGGGAAGTTTCGGCCATCTTTTACAGACTGTACTCCTGATGAGCTAGCGTTTTGCATTCAACATCGAGAGAGGAAGTATCAACTTAAGCCTGTAATTGACTAATTTTTAAGACTTGCATTGGCTCTTAGAAAAGAGTCCTCATCAACTAGTAAACCAACATTGAAA